TCCCCTGTGGTTGTAAGCCGCCCTGAGTCCCCTCAGGGAAAAGGGCGGCATATAAATCCCAATAAACCTAAACCTAAACCTAAACCTAATGGAACAATGGAAAATTATAGGGAAAGGTTAGTTTATTAAATGGAGTCAAAATGTGAGTTTTGGGGAAGAGAGGAATGAGCAGTATTGAAATTCAGTGTCTATGATTGCTGAATGAATACTGTTACTTTCCTCTATGAAAGAAAAGTGAGATACAATTAGTTTTTGTCAACCTTAAAATCAATTCACTCCTTATGGAATTTAGCCAGAAACTATTTTTTTCTTTTAAAAAAGAAATAAGTTCTGGTTTAGGCCTTTCAATTTTGTGTTATATGAAGCATAAGATTACATCAAATAATATAATTTTATTTCCAAGTGCCCCTCCAAATTCTCCATCAAGTGAAGCTAAATCCACAGGGCTGTATATATTGAGTAATTTGAACAAATTTGCAATGCTTCTGCTTCACCTAATTTATTTGTTTTCTGGTGTTATGCAGAGCATGCTCTGACAACTGGGCATCAGATTCAGCATTCTCTGGCTTCTGAACTCTGAGTATGAAGCATCATTTACTTTCGAAACACATCATTTCTAATGCATGGAGAAAAGGTTCAGTCTCATGGAACCAACGTAATAGTCTAAAATTTTCTCCTCCATTGGAAAAAGAATAAAATATAATATTCCTTCCAATTCAGGTTACCTGCAGCTTCTTGAGTTGGTGCAGCTGGTTGCGGAGTTCACTGGCATTCTGCTGCAGGTCATGGAGATGCAGCTGCATGTGTAGACGAGTGATTGCAGTGGGCTGCCCAGCTGGTGTGCCAGTAGTTGATGGGGGTGGAGGTCCAGGAACTGGAGTCCCTACATTGCTCTTGCTTGGGTCTGAAACAGAAAAAAAAACCCCAGAAATGCATGATAATCCATGGATATTGAGAGAAAAAAGAGAAAAATTATGTCATTGAAATCCTTTACCAAGCTTGGGTAAAAATACAAATTCTGTAACTTTCAGTTCAAAGCATTATAAAAATATTATCAAAGAGAGGACAACATCTTGAGTAATACCCTCTGCATGAATAAAATACACTAGTGAGTAGTAGCTTCATTTTTTACTACAAATTGGTCTGGATAATGCTATTTTTTTTCCCCAGCAACTCCGAGAATGCAGAGAACTGTGAATTTTAGTATTGGCTTCCCCTCATTTATCTAATACTTTTCTTTCAAACCAGCATACAGAAGGGCCTGGTGGTTATGTGAAACTATCTTACCTCAGTTTATCTTTGTAACAAAGCCAATTCATTTTTTTAAAGGTAAGAACAACTACCCTCACTTTAAACTGCATTTTTAATATCATGCTTCAAATCTGTTCAACTATGGGGCATCATCAAGAAGTTGAATCAAGAGTGAAGTCAAATTCTTGCTTCCATTTTGTTCCAGACAGCCCCAAAAGTGGAAAAAATACCAGTGAATATGAGAAGAGCATACAGGTTTCTATAACTTACAGCAGAAAAGGAAAAGCACAAATAATAAAACGGAAGGGTGGGAGATTTTCATTAAAACTTCCTAACTCTAAAGTCCACCTATCAAGATAAAAATACTTTTAGTATATTTCTCCTGTTCCAGATAAAGCAGCAACGACAATTGGAATTTATATTTCTGGTTTAACTGCTCTGTTATTGAATTTAAGATTATTTCTTTTTCTTGGGATGTCACATTTGAGGATGGGATTTCAAATGCTCACTTACGTGCTGATGGAGGTGTTCCTCCGTTGGTCCCTTCTGTTTTCTCACTGTAATGACAAGCAAGACATAGATATTCCAAAACCATTTCTAGGTTTAAGATGTTTAGATGGGAGTAAAAATTATTATACTGTAAACAGTGAGTGATTTGTATATATGATTAAAAGTGAAGTTTACTTGCATTCATAATATTCTAGGTGTCCACAGTAATGCCAAACATAGAAAACACATTTATTCATCTCAGATGCAAAATGTGCATTTTAAGTGTGAGGCATGTCTGCTCCAGGTCACAGAGAGAACAAAATTCTATTATTTATTTATTAACTAGATTTATAAGGTTTCCCAACTCAATCAATGTGACTCAGGGTAATGTACAAAGCTTTGCCCCAAGAGATAGAAGAGTTGAAAGATGAGTAATAGAGGTAGGAAGAGGAAATAGAGGAAATAATTAATATTATATTCCCGAGCTTTTGATTAAAGGTTGGAATTACAAGAAGTGGAAAACAAGGGAAACAAGCAGAGAGCTTTTGCTTCAGGAAATTGTATCTCAGGAATAGGTAAATAAGACTAGAAGCATAACTAACTATGTTAATTTTTATCTTTATTTTTTTTTTCTATATAGTATTATTTGAGCTTCGCTAACTTTTGTTCTTTTCAGCCTTTTTTCTTATAACAGGGTGTGCCCAAAGATCTAATTTTTTCTTTATATTTTCTACCATGCAACTTGATAGAAAATTTATGGTAGACAAGCTTAACCTATGATCTATTTCTCTCTTTTTTATGTTATCACATACGCTTTGTTTTATTTATCATGAATATTTGCACTTTAATAATATTAAAAAGTAAGATTTAATTTTATTTCTTTTTAAAAAATAAAGATTGATTTTTATTAATATCTTGTGAGGTTGATCTGTTTTTTTCAAAAAAGGCCAGGAAAGCATATGTACATTGCCAAACTTGACGAAATAGTAGGAGTTTATGCTAATGCAACAATTTATCTCATGTCACCCCATAAGAAAGATCAGACTAAGAAACAGAGACCATGCAAACCTAAAGATTTAATTGGAACTATAGTAACAAAATATTACAAGTCTGAATGTCTTTCCCTTCCCTTTCTTTCAAGGCCATCCTCTATACAATACCCCATTCTCATTTTAATTATTTGAGCCACCAAAGCAGCATGGATTGCCAGTGTCCTATTTCTTTAAAAGGAGGAGGGTGCAATAACAACCCTTCCATTATCCCAATTAAGTACAATTTAAGCTAAGGTAACTGATTACTGTACAAAGGTACTTCACAAGATATTGATGGTGTAAAGGAAGTGATATTCTCAATAATGATTCTCCTTGGAATAGAGGGCTATATAATGTGGGAAGGATGAGTTTGCAAAATGCTGCTCTACTACTAGGTGTTTTGCCTCATAGTTATTGGAATACAAACTTTATGGACTGATTGGTTGAGCATATTTGGCCGAGAATTATTGCCTTAAGATCATTTGCAATTAGAGTGACCAACTACAAAAAAAATCCATGTTTTTTCACTTAAAATGCTTCTTGCCACTCCACTATAATTCATGACTGAACAAAGATTTGGCCAAAATCTCATATACTAGCTAACCTTTATATCATAGAGACTTTCCTTCTATTTTTAATCCACGACAAAAGCAAATTAGCCAGTTTAGTTAGATTGTTGAAAATATGAAGTTCACCATCTCTATCAATGTCAAAAGGAAGAGCAGCAGTCCATGTAGTTTCACCCATCAAGCCTCTTACCTGGGGGTCTCTCCATCTGAGCTTCTCATTAATGCACTCTGAACCAATCCTGTGAGGCTGGCAATCTGTTTTTCCATCGCTTCCATGCGCTCCCTTAATAAAAAGAGAGAGGAAAAGGGAGAAAGACTGTATACATAAAAAAGTCCAGACAAAGCAGTAGGACAAATATATGCTTTTTTATTGTTTCCTAGTATTATGGCAATATTAGTAAACATAAGAATACAGTATATTTATTTGTATTCAATTTTGAAAGAGCATTCCTGCATGTCTCTCAGTTTGATATACCTGTTTGTAATAATATAAAAAAGTTAAAAGTATAAAATCACCAAAGCAAGAAAAAATAATACTAAAGAAACAATATCATATTCCAGATGAAACAGCAAGGAAATTACACTTTAAAAAGCACCTAAGGGAAGTCCATGTAACCTTCTGAAGCTCTGTAAAGAGTAACAGCCTCTAGTACCATGGTGAAAACTAAGAAACAATTGACCAAAATAGGCTTCTTTAGGACAGGAAATCAAGACTCTAACAGCTCTGTGGAATCAGCACAAATCCACAAAGACCTTATAAGTACTTCTGGGAACCTGGAAAGAAGACAGTCACATGAGATATTTTCTCGATACTTGATGCCCTTCAGATGCAAATCCTGTAATTCCAGCTAGTATACAGCAGGAATACAAGGTTGGGAATTTTGCTAGTAATTTAGCAAATCAGATTTTGAATAGTAGTATTGCACATAGTGGTATGTGACACTCAATCCACTGTGGTATGTGACACTCCAATGGTGGTATGTGACACTCCAATCCACTGTTCTGTTTTTTCCACTCCACCTCTGTATATCAGGTAACGTGCTATTGGAAAAAAGTGTCACGTGCACGACAACTCTTTGTCGGTGATTTTGTAGCCTTCATTTCACTCTACTTACAATTGCATTAACAACCTGATGAGCATGTCTACTTTCTCAGTCATACATAGTCACCCAACTAGTGTGGGCGACTATTATACTAGTAAAACTCAGGCCTCCTGTATCTTTAGTTGGTCAAAGTGCCTTTTGGGGTCATGCTCCATGATTTGGCTTTGAAAAGGGAAGGGCAGAAATGAAATGAGACAGCGTGAGACTAAGAGTGGTTTTGTGTTTTGGCTTCTCTCGCTCTCCCCACCAAGTGTCCATCCCAAAGGGCCTCTTCAGGCAGTCTTTCTTCAAGGTTTTGAACTGAGGAGGAATTTCTCACACATACTTTCCACTTCATTAACTTCTGATAGGACTATGACTTTGATTCTATTGACCTCTTCTGTTTACCTTTCACTCCTTCTCCCTCTTGATGTTTCTAACCATTTCTTTTTTCTGTATTTCTCTTATCCTAATGATCTCTGTTCTTACATTTCCCCCTGACAACTCAAATCATCTGAGAAACCATCCTCATTCCTGGAGATGTAGGCACAGGAAGTTTAAACATGAGATAAGGCACACAATCTTATCTTGTATAATTTGCTTTCAGAGTCCTAAAAATTATGGGTAAAGAGATAGACAGAAGTTAAAAATGGGGAGAGAATAGATTAAGTGCTATGGTGACATTAAATATCAGTTATTCCAATATTCTTTTGTCAGCCCTTCAGTACTACTGGGACCACAACAAACTGAAATTAAGACAATAAAAGTTTTACAAAATATGTTATATCCCGCTATTTCAGGGGTAATCAAACACTTGGGAGCAGTGCTACATTTGAAATGAAACACCTTTCTACCATTACAGGAGATTTTAAAAAAAACATACTGGATTGCAGCCATCCCCACTTTATTTTCTACAATAAAAAATCAAGTGGAATCTCAAGCTATGCTTGGGAATGATGCTTTGCTCTGCAGGATGCAAAGCTTTTCATTATTATAAAATTAAAGAATCCTTAAAAGAATAGGGCAGGAATCTTGACAGTTTATAAGCAGGCACATTGTTGTCTTGATACATTAATTGGGGACTCAGACAGTATATTATCAAGCAATGACTTTGGGCTTTCTATAACATTTAATTGAACAATAAGACTCCTTCAGTAAAAAAACCTTCTCTTCTTTGTTGAAAGTTTCCTGCTTGCCGATTTTCACTCATTTTATTGCTTACTGCTGGGAAATAGGTGATAATTGTCCCACGAGTAGCATCTTTTAATTGAAGTTTGATTTCAGCTTCCCACAAGAGATAGCTATAATGACTATTTTCCTGCCATTTTTAATTTATTTCTTTTTAAATGAGCAAAATAACCCCTTTTTGCCTATAATGAAACAAAAGAAGCAAAAGGAAGAACCCAAGATATCATGCTTGCAACAGATCTGACATTTGTTCAGCAATCCTATTGGCAATTATTCAGCAGTCAGCCTCATTATAGAGTAGAACTTAGTTCTGAAGAGTACATAGGATTATGCTGTAAGAGGTAATTATTAGGCATATCCGTTCAGACTACCCACTCAGTTGTCAAGTAATGTAAGGGCAGAACTTGCAAGAATAGGAATCTAAATAAAGGTACACAGAAAACCGAATGCTGCAACAGTATTTTGCATTGTTGCACTGGATTAATCTACTGCTGATGTAAGCACTTGGCAAATTAAAAAGGAAAAAATAAACAAAGATCTGGAAAAAAAAATAAAACACTGGAAATGCCATTATTAGAATGCTTTGGAATAAGGCTTCCTTTGCCTGACTTCCTTTGAGTGACTGCCTTCGTCACTAAATTTTATTTTATTTTTACAGAGGATCAAGATAGCTTCCATTTGTAATTTTGCTGATTTCCCCCCACTTTTTTTATTTCTTATCTGCGGAAAGCTGAAGAGAAGAGGGACACAAAAGAAGGACCTTACCCAGGCCTTAGATCAAGAGACATTTGTGTCATCATCAGTAGGAAGCCTGCTTAACATGTCTTCCTTCAGTCCATAAGAAGACACAAATGTATGCCAACATTACTTGCATTGTCTTACAGCTGATCTCTGCTCTGCTTTGGTAATGAGACAGCAGTGGGAGGTTCTGTTCTGACAGGTTAACATGGAACTGATTATGGAAAATGATTGGTGGATTTCCTGCTGCTGTGAAAAACAACTTCCAATTGCTCTCCTTAATCAGAGGTGAGGCTGGGAAAAGAGGTTAATTTTGACAGATAGCTGGGACCTATCTTCTGGCTTTAATTGAAAGCAGATTGCTGATGATTTATTTCTCTTGCATATTTGCTCAATCCCTCCTTTCTTCTTTGTGTAATATTTTGTTTTTCACTCACCTGTTTCTTTTGGGCTTCCTTGTTCTTTTGCTTATTCATGTTCTCTTGCTGTCTCTTTTGCTTTGTCGAAAAAGAGCTGTCAGGGGGCTATGGGCAAGTGGACTCACCACTTCATCCAGCAGAGTGCTCTTTTGTGCAAGCTGCCTTGTCAATCAGGCTCTAGTAATCTCGCATGAGAGTGCTTGGCCCATGTAGGCAATTATCCTTCATAGTGCCTGACCATTGATTATAAAAGCACTAGTCAAGCATCCTGTGCTCAAATGCATAGTGTGTCTCATCACTCCTGCTACTCCAGCCAAAATGACTCCTATGGTCATTTTGGCTGGAGCAGCTGGAGTGGTCAGATACAAACAAACAATTTAATAACCCATGTGCATTTATTTTAACATATTGGCACAAAATAACCAACATCACTTGGGTTGTTTTGTGGCAACAGCATCATAGGGTAGAAATCTCATTTGCTCATTTGTCATTTTTGTACTCTTATCACATTTAGTTCAGAATAAGAAAGCCTGCATTTTAGGGTCCAACTTTTCAGTATGCAAATTATTCAAGCTGCTTATCCCTGTGTTATTAATAATGGTACATCTATTGTTAGCAAGAAATGACAACTTCCATCTTTTTACCTTGTTTCGGTATCCTTGGCAGGCACAGGTGAACTGAATCCAGAATGAGGTCGTTCCCCAGGTCCAGGGAATAGTTCTGAAGCACCTGAAGAACTGAGATTCCGTGGTTTATTGACAGGGCTTTCCATGAACACTGAGGAACAAGAGTCCTTGCGGAAAGTTTGCCGTACTGGTGAGGATCGACTTGGAGGCCCTGAATAAGGGCTGTGAGGACTTTGGCTCTGCTGAACATCTACCAGCCGGCCATCAGCTATTTTCTGGGGAGATGATGGTGGCAAACGGAAGCCCATCCCTGGGCCGTAAGTATCACTGTAGATCTGTGCATTGGGCTTATATAAACTATCTTCCAGTTCTGATTGTAGGGCAGCAGCTGAATAGGTGCTAAGAGAACGCACTGAGCCCCTCTTATAAAGCCCTCCAGGGTAAGCAAATGGATCCCCCATCCCAGCCAGTGACTGAGTAGATGTAATGCTCAAACGTCCCTCATGCACCATACTATATGGATCAGCATACAGGCCTTCATTCTTCACCAGAACCATATTTTTTCCCACCAGGTCTTCATCCGGCTTGACATCCCGGCGCTCCAAGATAGCACTTGGACTTGGTGAGACTCCCTGAGCTGGAGGGAGGTTGGAGAGGCGCTCTGCATGATGCACAGGACTGCCAGCATAGGAGGGTGGGCGCCCACCACTGTAAGACATACGGGAACGGGAAGGTGAGGATGATTGGAGCACTGGAGGAGGAGAGCCAGAAGTAAGGTGGGAAGCAGGAGACATGCTGTTTAGGCGCCGGGTGGGAGAGGATTCTCTGGAAGTGTAGACCACCTCTCTCTAGAACAATGAGATGTCAGAGAAATTCAGAACGTCATAAATCTTTTCTGCATTATCACAGTATATAGGTGAAAATATGTTATATTATTTAATCATATGAAACAACCTATAAGTGCATAATATATACTGAGCTGCATAAACATGGAGAACAAAATGTCTTATTCTTATTCCGGAACAGAGTTCTCTCTCTCTCTCTTTTCTTTCTTATAGTTTTTTTTTTTTTTTACTGATGATTCATTCCATCCCCTTTTTTGGAAACATATTTTACTCTGATGAATGCCTTGATGGGCGTATTTATTATTTCCCTGCCAAAAATTCTGCTTATGCTAGTGAAATATTCATTGGCAACTTGCCAATGTTTTTCAGCTTTCTGACTCTTCCAAATTCCAAAGCAATTGTTTTTCCTTACTAAACTAGGTTGTTCCTTATAATAGATGGATAACTTGTACTTACTTTTCTAAAACTAATCACATGTGGGATTAGTGGGATTTTTCCATGTAGGAAGTTGTGGGATAACATGATTTTGCACTACATAAATGCAAGTCCCATCCTAAATTTTTCAAAGCTCATAGGCACCATCCATTAACAGAGGATTCTCTATAGTCTTTTCTTTTCTTAAAACAGAACTAAATTAGAATCCCTCAGAAGCAAAATTTTATAGGATATATAAATTGTTCCCACAGTGGAGATACTTAAAAAAAATTCTGAATAGCTAAAGCTCAAGGGAAATACAGATCTTCCAGTGATCCTCTCTACTGAAGAGATTTGGTTCAAGTATTTTAGTTTTGCTGAAAAGGAAAGAAGAAAAGAAGGGGTGGGGAAGGTGCTTAGATTGGAATTGTTAGGATTTTTCAGTTACTTTCTGGGGAAATAATCACCCCAGTGCACATCTATAGCTCTCAAACTACAAGGAGGAAATTGCCGTCTTCTGCTAGAGTACATTGAACATTGAAGGAAGATTATGACTGCAAATCTGCAGTCCACAATGCTAGGTATAAGTCAATGCATGTCTACATGCATCATATATAGAAAAAGGTATTAGTGAAACGTTCTTTAATACGTTGCCCGTTTTGTCTCTTGTGGCACTGACAATAAAGAACAGGATGGCCTCTGTGCAATCCTTTGCTCTTACCCGAAGGTCACCATTGGTGATGTGGGATCCAGGGAATGAGGCATAAAGTGGTTCTTTCCGGTAAATTTTGATAATACTTCTGTCCTGAATATCCCTGGAAGAACAAAGCCCAAAGAATCACATGAGATAAATGCATATTAGGTTTGGTTATTATTTCAGGTCCTAAAATATGCTCGAGCACAGTGATAGGAGCAAGATGCATACTGCACAGGCATTTCCTGTGCCATTGTTTCCTGTTCATTCCAAAAAGCCTTCAAGCAGATCACATCAGAATTTAGAATTTATAATCTATTTGCAGTAATCTGTTGCTTTGATATACAGCAGCATGTCCATGCAAATACTTCTGTGGGGGTGAAATTTGTACCTAGAGTCAGCATTGTATGAGTCCTTTACATCTGTGGGCCTCCTTTCTTACTTGTAAGTTTGGGCTGAATTGCCAAAGCTCACATAAAAGGAATCATGAAGATCTACAAAGGGATGGGGGTGTTTCTAGTAAAATGGATCCTCCTAATGCTATCATTCAAAAGGTACTGTTTAATTAAATCTCTTTTCTTCTTGAATGAGTTGTTGAGGAAAGGTAAAAAGAGAAAAAGAGAAAAGCAGCTGTAGGAACCACTATAGGGAGAGCTACAAAAAAGAGATTAAAAAGTGCTAGTCTTGGATAAAAATACTTTGCAAGAAAATATACTAAGTTCCTCAAGGGGGTGATAAAAACAAGGATGACTAACTTGATAGAAATATTTAACAATGATGCATAATAGAAAGAGAATGGCTAGAGACAATTTTTTTCCTAACACTAGCATCATAACAATAGAACTTGACATTAAATAATTAAATTGATTGGCAATAGTTTTTTTGGGGGGATGACAAGGAAAAATGTTTCTTTCCATAAGAAATACTCTACTAACAGAATCAGTTGCTGCAAGATTTATTTATCTATAATAAGAGCTTCTATGTTGCTACATTCCCATATATTGTAAATCACTTACAGAACAAAACACCACAGCAAAGATAAAATGTAAACTTATAAAACTCCCAAAACCAGGACCCATTATCTCATAAGGGTGAGTTAAACCTCCATAGCCCTCATACTTTCTTGAAGGGTCAAATCTTTATGGCCTTTCAAAAGATGCAGGTGGACTGCCAAATATCCAAGAGTAAAGATAAAGGTTCCCCTTGCACATATGTGCTAGTCATTCCCAATTCTAGGGGGTGATGCTCATCTCCGTTTCAGAGCCAGAGATCCAGCACTGTCCAAAGACATCTCTATGGTCATGTGGCCAGCATGACTAAATGCCAAAGGCTCACGGAACGCTGTTATCTTCCTACCAAAGGTGGTTCTTTATTTTTGTACTTGCATTTTTACATGTTTTTGAACTGCTAGGTTGGCAGAAGCTGGGACAAGTAACAGGATCTCACTTCATTACGCAGTACTAGGAATTCGAACCGCCAAACTGCTGACCTTTCTGATTGACAAGCTCAGCGTCTTAGCCACTGAGCCACTGCGTCTGTTCCAAATCAGGGAGGCCATTTGCAAGAAGGCTTGCCCTCTCTTCTTGATCTCACCTGTACCTTCAATGCAGAGAAGGCAGTCCCATAGGTATAAAACCCTGAGTCATGAAAATATGGCAATAGCCCACAGATTGAACAAAGAATGATTTTTTTAAATATCATATTGCTATAATAAACAAATAAATGTTTATAATAGTTCATGATCAAGACATCTCTCTTGCCAGGTAAGTAGGCTGGAGTTGGTATTCTTAATGATTAGAACAGGGGAAAAATATAACATTAGAGCTAAATACAATGAACAAGTTATGTTGCCACAGGCTGTATTTGATTAATATTTTCCTAAAATATATTTTGATATATTCTTGACAGAAATAACATTTATGTTTTCATCCAGCCTTCTACAATTCCTCTGGAGCAAAAAGAAACATTAGGAGAAACTTCTTGACGGAAAGAAGTATTTGGCAGCAGAATAATAGAGCAAAGGGTCTATTTTTCAATTGCTGAAAATCTTCTAGAAAAGCTGAAAGCCATCTTTCGAGGTTTCTTTAGCAAGGGATCAGACTAATGGATAGAAGACCTTTCCACAGAGATCATACAGAAGTGAACGTTCTGTTTCCCCTGTTATTTCCTACCAGGAGTTAATATCTACAGCAAGACATACCTGACATCCTCCAATTCATAGAAAACATTGCGGGATTCGTCTTTAATCAGAATGGCAGTGTTTGGGGACTTGAGCATCCCCATTGTCAACTTCTGAGGAAACATGTGAACAATGAGGGCATGTAGAGTATCCATGCTGCTGATTTCGTGGGTGATATGAACCCTCCTTGTCTCATCCCCAAACTGCAGGAAAAGGATGCCTGAGGAAATGGAGAATAGAACAGGAAGGAAACAGTTCAAAAGATGGAATTGTTGAGTGACTCATAATTATAAATTTTAAATTCCATAGGATATGTGTGTGTGTGTGTGTGTGTGTGTGTGTGTGTGTGTGTATGTATGTATGTATTTTGTGTCACAATCCCTGGTATGCCCAAATATGGTCACCCTAGGAGACCATCCAGACAGAAAGCCATTATTTTTACTGTTGCCTTTGTTACATTTGTGTTGCATTTGTGCTGATAAATAAATAAAGGGACTAGTATAGATCTATTTCAAGCTATTTAGCTCTCATCAGCTAAATCCCAGTAAGGGTATGGCTAGCAGATGAGAGCTAAATAGGACATGAATTCCTCTCCCAAGCAGGGGTGGGCTTCAAAAATTTTAGCAAGGGGTTCGCTGCCTGGTTGCTGTGTGGACGTGGCCTAGTCAGCCTTTTGCATCATGGCAGGGGTGGTGGTGTATTTTTGCCCTCCCCAGATTCTGGAGCTTTTCCTCAAGACTCCGGAAGTGTGAAAATGGCCTCCCCAGGCTCTGGAGGCCCTCCGGAGGCCAGAAATGGCCTTCCAGCCTTCCTGAACTTCTGGTAGGCCCGTTTTTCACCCTCCCTGAGCCTCTGGATGTGCCCTGCACTTACCTACATCCAAAATACGCTGCCTGGGAGGATGGATGGGTGGGCACTGGGCAGGGCCAGCCAAGAGTGGGATTTGGGGATTCTCTGAACTGCATAGAATCTTAGCAAGAGGTGCTTCCAAACCCCTGAGAACCATCAACAGCCACCTCCCCCTGCCCCCAAGCAAACCTCTCACATTTGTGTGATGATAGCATATGACCCAGGAAGCAAAGATGATAACTTTATTTTTAGTATTTCCAGCAATTGCAAAGAGGCCTGAAAAGAAATATTTGTAAAGTTTGGCTCTTCCCCCTGCCCTCATTTTCTATTGGGGGGGGGGGGGCAAAAAGGTGACCCATGGTGGTGGGACCAGAATTGGTCTTTCACTGAGTGGCTTGAAGGAACATGCCCCACTTCTCAAAATTTCAGTCTTTTGTCTCCCAAGCCACGCATTTCCCTGAAACAAGCAACAGTCACAGAGATTGAAATCCTAGAGAAGTTTTGCAGATTCCTGCAGGATTTCTTACATAGATGCCTTAGGGCCTTTGTTAATAGGTGCATAAGTGGTAAAATATGGTAAATGGTAAAATATGGAATAATCTTCTCCAGTTTTGTGTGTTTCAGGTATAGAGAACATTGCCAAAAAGATTCCCAACATTGCCAAAAAGCTCTTCTAGATTGTTATGCAATTATAATCTAATATATTTTAAGAACAACATTATAAGGGGAAAAATAGAATCACAAATACAAATGGAACTATGTGCTGTCAGATATATGGCTAAATATTAAATTTCTATTTTAGTATCTACTAGTAGCACATGCAATTAGTAACAAGATTTTGAGATGTGTGAGTATGAAATTGCACAATCTCACCATTTTCACAGAAAAGCTAAAGTTATTAATAGGCGATCAGGAATATAGCAACAATCAGGAGACTGGAGAGTAAGTATTATTCTGATTCTTCTACTCTATTAATTCAAAGATTTTAACTGATGCTTTGATTGTCCTGGATTTCTAGATTTATTTATTTTTTAAAAAATAATGTTTTATGAAGTTTGGAAGCTAAGTTGTTGCTAATAAAAATAATTGTGAGCAAGTAAATTAATATAGCTAAACTTTTTGAATTCACTCAAAATACTGGTGTCCTTGGAATAGCATTGCTTATTCTCTCTGGCAGTCATTCTCTAAAACAGCCTTTCTAAATCTGGAGCATGCTGGTTATGATGGAATATAGTTTTCATTATCTATCACAGAATGTCTAATGACTGTTGACTAAAAGTCAGAACATCCAGAGATGGATCTGTAGAAAAGTTTTATGCTGTGTTTCCTACACTTATAATCCAATATCTTTTTAACTAAGGATGTCAGTGTTTTAACCTTAATCCTAACCCTTCTCTCCTAAAAATGTCAGACCCTTTCTCCAAAAATAATTTAAATAAATAAAATAAACATGCTACTGCTTCATCTAAGATGCTTATGTAATCTGTAAGTGAAAAAAAGTGCTTATACGGAAACAGATTTAATCACATCCCCTTTGAGTGCTGCACAAGAAAACCTCCAAAAAGGTAACACAAAAGCAGCTTTCATTTAAAAGAAAAATGACATCTCCTGCCCAAGATCATGCACTTTGTAGTGCACAAAGAGTTTACCTGGTGATCGAAGTTTTGTTTGGCTGGTGGAACGAGACAATGGCAGGCTTTGCCTAAAGCGATTCATTCTGTTGAACCCAATGGGCAGTTCAGCTTCAGACATGGTTTCCAGAGATTCTGCTGAAGCAAAGGAAAGCTTGGCTTGATCAGCCAGGCCAGGCTGAGAACCCTGTGAATGCCGAGAGCTTCGGGTCTAAAAGCACAAACAGAGAGAGAGGGAGGGAGGGAGAGAGAGCGAGAGGTGAGACATTAGGACAGATATTTTCTATCACATTTCTAAAACACAGAGTTAAACATGTTACTGTCTCTCAACATTTTGATATAGCCAAATGTTCAGCTGTTATAGAAGGAATCCTCCTTTTGTAAGAGAAGAAAAATTTGCTAAGGATTAAATATGAGTTGGCAGCAGAAGGTTGTATCTCTAGTTTGTATCTGTCATCTTCTTTGTAAATTAAGCATGACAGCGAGCCCTGAAACACAACGACCTGTTGGGGATTGAAACTGCTCTCAATCAAAACAGAACCAGACCTAGTGATGCTCTTACAGCAATTTAATTTGCCCTCCATATTTGGAAGGCAGAATGTGTGGCAGACCAAGCCTCATAACAACAACAACAAAAAGGCTGGAAGACAAATGGAGAAATGTGATTTCTGAAGTGCCCCAGTTGCCTCTGTATTCCAATGGTCAAAAAAAGCATCTAACAGAAACACCAGCCAAAATATGGCTAACAACTCCCCAAGCAGTAACAGGAATCTTTGAGGATCCATCAGATGTCAGTTGTGGACCATCTGAATAAGTTTTTCCTTCCTTTGGAAGGTGGCAGCCATAGTCAAGGCCATTATCACAAGGAAGTGATCTGTCCATGGCAATGAACTGATGGAAATGTACCCCCCCCCCCAAAAGATAACAATATATTTGCTCCAAGGTGATTGCAAGATCTAAAACATAGCTGTATGTGCGCAGGAGCCAGTGATAGCCTATGACAAACATATGATTGCTATGATGACAATGAACTTCCAAGTGAGCTCTAATTCCAGGGAGAGGAGATTGAAATCACTTTCTACTCTTGGGTGTTATTGTGAATCCAAGATCTTACAATAATTATAATATGACAAAATAGAAATATATAGGGAAACAATCCTACTACCTAAATCTATTTAAATTGGTTTAAATGGAGTACAATCAAATGTGATCCTCCTCTTTATCTATTTCTTTGTCCAGTTGCATTATTATTTGGAACATGATCTGCAGCATGCTTGCTCAAAGGCAGAATGTGGCCTCAACCTGAAAAAAAGGTTGTACATCCCTTATTTATAAGAAATATTATAGTCCATAAATAGAAACCTTCCCAAAATATTTTTTTCTGAAAACTACAGAATCAATGTTTTATTCCAACATCTAGCATGGAAGTGGAATTAGGAAGCATAGTTATAAATTTTAACCAATTTAATTGATGTACAAGCACTTTACTTAATTAATAGTGGTTGATTAATTTTAATCAGCAGAGCTCTACATTAACAATGCTTGTTTAATTTTAAGTCTATTTTCATTCTGCTATATTGCTACTTATGGAATGAAATACAAGATATTAAATAAGCTATTCGCACAATACCTTTTTTATAATTTTATGGTACATGCTTCCTTTAATATCTAAAAAAAGTACAGTTTATTGAGCTTTGGCTTATATGCAAATGTACATAAATTCAGTCAATTAGATGACTGCTCTATTAAAGGCAAGTGATTAATCAGGAAAGATGTTTTAATTGGTCAATAGCTTCCACTGGAATGAGCTTCTGCCAGACTTGACAGACCAGCTCAATTAATCTAGTAGCCAAGCATTCATCCAATTTGTTCCTCAAGATTCCCAGCGATGAAAATTGTGTTTATGCAGGCATGTGCACACAGTCCTTGGCAATCAGTTCTAGTGCTGTATCAGTACTTAATATCAGTACAAAGTTAGGTTTATGTCCAATGTTCTGATTTCTTTCCTTGATTACTATTTTATTCCTATAGTTTCTTCCCTTTCGCCTATGCTGCCTTTCTATTTTGCTCAAGGAAGCTTTCAGAGCTTGACAAAGAGGAAACTGAATTATTTTATAGGAATAGCAACTTGACAATCAAAAGACCTGTTAAAATGCAAATTCCATCCCTTTTTGTACATCCCACACATGACATCACAGCATACATTTCATCATTTTGACAAAAACCACAGGATGCAGGGGATACTTAAGGGTAGTGACATTCAGGAAGGTGAGGGGTTAGTAAAGATAGAGGGTTTAACATATTTTGCATCTATCTCAATTGGTTACAACCACAACTGGGACTGGAACTTGTATTGCTAAGTGATGTGGTCATTATATGAATTTTGCCTGATTTAATTATCTTTTTTGGCTGAAATCTTTAAGTAAACCACATGGCTTTCCCCAACTGGGAAGGTTGCAACTTCCCCCCTGTGATGGTCACAACTAGAAAACATATGACCTTGGGATGCTGCAACTATCATAAATACATGCCAAACACCCAAATGTTGATCATGTGACCACAGGGATGCTGTGGATGGTCCTAATTGCTAGGCCTGGCTGTAAATTATAACTTCAAAGATTTATTAAATAAATGATCATAAGTTGAAGACTACATGTAATGGAAAGCCAAAACAGAGGTTAGATGTAGCACAGCAATCAGCAGTGGGGAAAGCAATGTTTATACTGGCTCAAGGACAGGAGGATAGCATTTTAATTGAGCTTTGGGGAAAATCCCACAGAGCTACCAAATAGATATTCTCTCGTTCCTCCCTCAATAATAATTTTTGTGGTAAAAGAGAGAACTAAACTTGGAAAATATGACAAAATTGCAAAAAGGCATGTTTCCTGAACATCCCCTTAATAAAATCTATATTTGAGATATGCTTTATTCTGACTATACAATAAAAGCTTTTTCTGGAAGCACATTTCCTCTCCTCACAGCAGGAGGGAGAGATGTAAAAAGGGATGATGGGGAGGGGGGAACGGAATACATTAACTGTCCTTAATCAAAGCTGGAAGAGAGTTTACAAGAAGGCAAGATGCTTTTCTTCCCCTTCAGGGCCTATCTTGCCCCCTCCGTAAAGAACATAACCTGTCATGAGAGAGCAGCTTCCTTTTTACGGCACAGGAGGAAAACTTCCATATCCAAGATCAGAACAAGTTCTTATATAAATCTTGATGGCTTTGCTGCTGATTGCAGACAAATAAACAGACAAAAAACTCAAGACTTTGGGATCACCCTTGAAATTGCCATAGACCACCTATCTCTTGTGTGAAAGAGACAGCTCCTAGGAGACATATAGGACTCGTCTTGATTCTGGGATATATGTGATTCAAGGCTTATGGCAGCAGGAAGTAGGAAAAATGGGCATACATTCCCAGCATAGAAAAACAGTAATACATTAAACAATGTTTCTTCTACTATAATATTCCTTTTGCATAGGTGATTGTAACAAGCAGAAGCAGAAGCAATTGCTATTACTTTTTAATTTTTTTTCTGGATCACCTTTTGTTATCAAAAAGTAATCTGCTTCCTATAATGAAATAATGAGAGTTGTGTACAGTGGCTGAATGACATTTTTACTTAAATCACCAATCCCATTCCTTAAGTCCAGATAGTAAGACATATATTTCAGTTGTAGATTTCTAAAAACAATTTTTAATCAGAAAATAAAGGATAAATAACCTATGAAATGTTCTGTTTTGGTTGAGGCCACAACCTTTATCCATTATCCTGTTTCTAGCACATGTGTATAAAATTACACCCACCAGGATATGATCAATCTGGTAATTGTAAGCCAAGATAAAACAGAAACAGGGCTAGAAAGAGACAGGGTATTCCTTTTGGGGCATTTAGTAGGCAATCTTGACATTTAGGGCTCTCCCGTAAAACTCTTCTACAGTATTTTACAATGTCTTGTTGCAAATGGGTTATTTTCCTCTCTCTGATTTAGGAACAAAATAGTTTGAAGTGCTTTATCTTTCCATTATCTGTTTTCAATTTCCCTGCCATGCCCTTTGCTTTGCCAAACAGACTGGAAAGTTGAAGGTGTGAGTGACTCCAGATGATCAATAAACTGGCTTTACTTTGAGTTGACAAGGGCCGATCATCTCCAGTGGGTTAGTATGCAGACGGCTAAAGCTCTATAATAAACTCTGAATAATAATAATACTAATAATGATAATTTTGGTATTGAAGTCAAATATAGAAGAAATAAAGCTTTATTCCAGTTAGTTCTTATATGCAGAAATATGTATGTTAGAAAGCAACATGAAAACCATCTTCTTAAAAGCTTGCTTTTGTTCGTTACACAAACTGGCTTTTCATACTGGGAGATGCTGACATTTTATGGAAGACATTCATGAAATAATTATTATACCAGAAAGTAACCTTAGGTTTAATTCTGTGGGCAAACTGTTGACATTCTAAATTTCTTCCTATAGCATTCTTATGTAAATCCATGTAGATTTTTCTTTCTTTCTTGAAGAGACACAGAATAAAATGCTGAAACTAGACGATTGAACTGGTTTAAATTTAAAGGCTCTCTATCTAGACCTATTTCCTGAGCAATGCTTTCAGCATAAATTTAATTTGTCCAGAAATATTGCATTTTATATCATTCATTACTATTTTAACTAAGAGATCATCAATATTCTGAATGTAAAAATTATCAGGAACCTAAATTCTTCGCTTTTCAGAAAGATGTGCCACCTTTTCCATCAATACATACATAAAATCTATTTTTTTTTAAAAATCTTGTTCCAAACCTAGAAGGGAAACTTCAGAAGAGAGATTTCTGAATGCATACCATAGGGTCCCGCATCATTCCTGAATAGCTGAAGAAAGCAAATCTGGCAAACATAACCTTTTTTTGCATAATTTTTGCAGTGTAAAGAATTTGTATGAAAGTGTGTGAAAGTTTTGAATTTTTATCAGAAAGAAAAAATAGCTGCACTCTTGGACCATTGCCACATTAGTGAGGAAAAAAGTGTTGAAAGGCAGCTTTGAAATCACTTCAAAGTGAAAGACCATAAAAGCAAATGCAGCAGCCAAACAGATGATGCGTATATGTGTGTATGTTCTAGGAGAGTTGTGTAATGGCTTTAACTTACTCCTTGCCAGCTGTTCATTCTTATACCCTTTGGCCCGCCAGCTAAAGATCCTAACATG